ATACAATATTAATATTTAATATACTACTACAAAGTTCGCAATGAACTTCTATCTCGTCGGTTTTTTTCTTTCAGTTTTATGAGGTTGTATACTTTTTAATTTTCTTTCGATTTGTATACTTTTTAACTTAATAAAAAAATTATTAAAATGAAGGGAAAAGGAAGAAACTGCATTTAATGAAAATTATTTTGAGCAACGTTAACATGAACTGTAAATAGTTCTAATATATGTTATTATATTTCTATATTTTCGGCTGATATTAAAAAGCATTATCTTCCTCTCTGCAATAACTTTGATAATTTTGAAGTATTTTTCTTAAGGCAGTAAATGTTCCATATAGACAAGGATCTAATAAATCGAAGGATGGTAATAACCATGAACCGATATAGACGTCAAGTTCAATGAAAGACATTTCAATTCAGTGGAGGTCACCAACTCAACACATTCACCAATCCTTATAATCAATGGATTATTTTTTTTTAACTTAACAACAATTATAAAATATAAAATGTAAATATACATTAGGATCCTTCATAAGAAACTCAAAAGCCAAGGCCTTTAGGATCCTATTAAGTATGTTTTTCTCATCACGTCTTATATTCCATTAAATTTTATTGAAAATATAATATCCTTATAGAAACTTTATGATCCTCTTTATTATCGTATTATTGTCTCCGAGCTTAGCTGAAAGGTTTTCCGTGCAGGCTGGAAATTGATATCGCTAAGCAGCTATTCCTTCTCTGTAATAGGCAGCTATTACTCACACCAGTTAAACATCCATGAATGGAGAATGACAAAAATAATAATTTATTTGGTCAGATTAGTTATCCAATATTAGCAATACATTATTTGTACGTAGGTTGGAAGAAAATTACCTTACAATACACCACATCTTGATATTATTCGTCTTACAGGATAAATTACAGTCCTTCCCATGACAATGAAACTTAGTTTGAAAGCCCCCACTTCATGTAAAGCATTGCAGTAATCCGAGATAATAATACACTTCGCTTCCAAATGTGACTGGACCAGGTGAGAAATGTAGCCTCCGGAACAATCATTTTCCATAATAGGTCAGTCCTCATCAATTCTCGTAAACAAAAAATTACCGACAGACCTACTTGGCGTGATACTTATGAACATACAGTCGGATTTTTTTTATTTTTTTTTACAAGAAGTCACTAAGTTACACTTCATATTTTTAAATTTTCCACCTGGATAAATGACTCACATGGAATCCTCATACAAGACTGAAACGACAAGAAACCGCTCGACGTTTCCGACAACTCCAACACTTACTAGACAAACGCTATAAGCTTTCAATCAATTACAAAAGATTCATATATATGACAATAATAAGACCTATTTGGACTTACGGAATTGAGTTTTGGGACTCCACTAAACCATCGAATTCCTCTCGTATCCAATCCTTACAATCCAAAATCCTTCGTATAATCCTCAACGCTCCTTACTTTGTCACAAATAAAATCATCCATAAAGACCTTAATGTTCCATATGTTTCCGATTTGGCCCAATCTAGATATCTATCCTTCCATAACAAACTCCTGAACCATCCGAACCCTCTCGTTTCAAACCTTTATTATTTAACCATTTACAACTATATAAAACGAATACAATTAGTAAATGTGAAGAATCAAGAATAATTACAAGAACAGACTTGACTAGATACTTACTACCTACAAGCAGCTCTGAAGAGTACTGTTGGACGAGAAGTTGTAATACGTTTCAAATACTCATTTGAAAGATAATAATAATACATAATACGATTTATGTATGTAAAGATTTGGAAACAATAAAGTACTGTGAAATAATTTGCAGATTAAAAAAAAAATGTTCAAAAGCTCATCGCAATTATAATTACCTAATTTCGCGTATATCTATGAGGCATCGGATGTGACGTGGGTAGAGTCAACACGTTAACGAGGATGACCTTTAATAATGAAGAAATTTAATAATAAAATGAAGCTTGCTAAAGGTGCTAATTGCAGGCAAAGGGGATGGCGCGGGGGGGGGGGAGAGGAGAGGGAACATTTAACATAATCCCCAGCCATCGGGGGAGCCTATCAATCTATTTACAAACAAACAAGCTGCATAACTAATGACAACCTGTTGCTCTCCTACGGGGGGCCACGTGGAAGGAAATCAAAGACCGGAAAATAGTTCCGAAAATGAAAAAGAGAATAAGACATTAAGAGGCTCAAAAGAAAAAAAAAGAATAAACTGAAGAAAGAAATGACTAGATGAAGAATATAAGAAGAATGAGGGTTGCTAAAGTGAAGGCAATTAAATTATATTCCTTTTGTCCGTGGCCCCCCCGCCACCTCTTTGTCGACCGCACGGGGTTAACACCTCCTCTGCTATTCCCAACCATCCCCGCTCTATCTCTTCTCTCTTTATCTACATCATGTTTTTGGCACAACCATCCCACATCTATTTCTCAATAGATAGACATATTGAAGAGTGAATTATTTCACTAAAACAGATAGATCACATTATCGGAAATGTATAGCGAGCGAGACACTTTTAACTTTATTAATAATAATTTTACTCCAGCGCTCTATCTTAGTCTGCACAGGCTTTCAATGATGTGGCTGGGATCTCTTTGAGTCCTGGTTTGCCTCTCACATGAAGGCAGGAAAGCATAGTTTCGAGTTTCCTATGATGAATGTAAATAGTGGATATAGGTATGAATGTGTGATAAATGTTTTTTCCTTCTTAGTATTTTATTTATATATGATAATCTCAGTTGACAGAATTACTAACTCCAATTTCAACATTTTTTAGTATCAATCTTAGTGATATTTCTAGTGGGAAAATGTATACCTTTATTCACAGTTCTATATTTCAACACTGCAATCACCTACTCTGGAATTAACTTACTCACTGCCTGTATAGATATTAAAAATTTCTAACAAGAAATATCACTGTTCAAATTGGAGTTACCCATTCTGTCAACTCAAAGGCTAATAAATTTAAGTATTTTAGCTTATATAGGATGAATGTACTCGTAAACATTGAGCCATAATAACTATTTCCTTGACCGGCAGATTGTATTATTATGTTATCAAATAATTCTTGAGTAAATCACAATTAGATAATTACAAAAAATGAACTGGGTAAAAGAATAATTACAACAAAAAAGAAGATCTCCTCTCAGTACGAATCAATTAATGGAAATTACATAGAAATGACCATAAATATGGTTTTAAAAATTTTCCTATGGATTAGAAATATTCACTGATGTAATATGTAGGAGGGACAGAAACCGAAACTCCCTCCCCTCACGCTGAAGAGAAAATAACTTTTCAAAAATAAAATAAACTTATTTGATTTACATAAGGAATCTTTAAATATCAAGTGAACAATATAAAATTTTTAAATATAAAATTTGAAGTAATGCACTTTATGTGTGATATATATCAAACCAAACCTTCCTTGTAGCATTCTCGGTTGCGGCGCTCGTGGTAGTTTTTTAGTATTTTTTTTTCTTTACCTCATCCAAAAAAAAAAATATATATATATATATATATATATATATATATATATATATATAATAAAGTTTAAAAATACATAGAATATTTTTTTGAATAAAACAATGCCACAGAAATCTGCCATACTTTCTAAATCTGGAGGTTTGTAGAGAAAAAATGTTATAATTTGTACTACTATCAGAGGTTTGAGTTGAGAGAACACATATATAACCATTGTTGTTACATTGAAGCTGTAAATGTAACTAAATTCCCAAGTGATGTCTCAGTAGTTGTTAAAAAAATTTACTCTTAAACAGTTGGTATCGGATCAAAACTAAAATAATACTTATAGCCATTATAAAATAATACTTAGGGCCCAAAAATCGACCTGATCGCAGGCGAAGATTTGATTGTAAATTACGAATGTGTATGTTATTCTGAGTAAAAAGAACCTTGTCTTCCGTTCCAGAGCCGCTGCTTTAAAAAATGGCGGCTGATTTGAAGAATATTAGGCTCATAATTTGAGGACCGAACCGGGAAATCCATTCCGAAAAAAATTTGAGAAAAGTTTTATTTTTTTAACTTGTATATATGGGTATAAACATGCAAAAAACATAATTGCTAACTCGGGCCACCAAGGAAAAACTTTTTACATCCAAAAAACTCAGATTTGTTCGGTAATTATTTTGTTTTTTCACCTATAACTCCTAAACAACGCATCAAAGCGAAAAATGTATTCTTTAATAAATTAAAGAGCGTGAAATTTTGCGTCAAATAAGTACATAAACTTTGGTTACGCGGAAGGTATAAAACCGCGGTCAACCAACGATGATTTTTACCAAATTTGTCAAAAGCTTAGACAAATTACTATAGATGGTTCAGTAACTTGAAATTGAGTTCCCTAAGAGGAAAACCCCACAAAATCAAAGTTGTAGAGCATCAAATTTTGCATCTACTGAGTACCAACTAATTTAATGTAGGTCACTTACTGCGAACAAAATCGGTAATCTCCAGATGGTTAGAAAGTGGTAATGAAGGTAAACGTGATTGTCAATATTTGAACAGTATGGGTTCTATTCTACTGTCTAGTCTATTCTACTGAGTTATTTTTGCATAGGGTCTGTTACAGGCAGTATAAGCCTCTTTTCCATCATTCAACAGCAAAGGGTTATAGTAAACGATGTGTCGAAAAATACCGAATTTCGTAAAGAAATACCCAATTCCGATGCGAGATATATAATTGGCCTGAAATACAAATATCAGTACTCAGTAGACGCAAAATTTGATGCTCTACAACTTTGATTCTGTGGGTTTTTCCTCTAAGAACAACGTCAGACAAGGTTCTTTTTACTCAGAATAACATACACATTCGTAATTTACAATCAAACCTTCGCGATCAGGTCGATTATTGGATCCTGGCTCCAGGGCTGTTACAATTGTAAGATGTAAAACATTTGAAGCGATTTAATGGTTTACTAATTAACATTAAATTAAAAATAAATGAATTACTTTTGATCTTGCTCTGCTGCTGCTTCCTGTAGCGGATATGGCCCTCCACGTGGAATACTTCGTACTGAGGTTGATCGCTCTTGGAAGCCGGCCGCTGCTTGAGCCTCAAGAAGAAACTCCTCCTCTCCGGCCGGCAGGTCGCTTCTCCTGAGCAAAGAAGGAAAAATTCTTTCTAAAACAAAACTAAATATTATTTTATTTTAATAAGATTTATGTACACCGTCCCATCTTCATCCTGAAATCAGAGCAAATAAATAAAGCCACTAACAATTAATAAATATTCCTATTAATTTTATAACATTCCGCATCTAACCAGTTCAATTAATAATTACAACATGACTTTTATATGAATCATTAGCATATCATTTACTTAATGAGGAATGTGTAATGACAGAAACCGGTTATGGAAGAGAATAATAAAGAAATATGCAGCACGACATAGTCCTTTTAATTAAATACATCAACATCTGTAACGTCGAGTCTCAATTCAAGAGTAATTAAATTAAATGCCATGATAAATAAATTATTAACATTACAACAATTAATATTCACGATTTTAATAACTTTCATGAAAACAACTTTACTCCGGAAATTGTCTGAATTATCTGCAAGCACTTCGGGCAAAGTGGAAGGCATACTGCATAGTTTGTATAAGGGTACGATTATTTTCTAAAAAATAAATAGTTCCAAGTCTCATATGAGTTATCGATGGGCGATAACGCTATATGTGGTATTAAAATATTTTATCTACGAAAATTCTCAGAAATGGGTACTTTTTCTATTTCACAAGGTACTAAAAACTTATGAATGGCCAAAAAAAATATTGGGCCATTTGGCCTTTATTATAACATCGTTATTTTGCCATGTTGGGGATGGAGGTCACGCCACGAGGCTCTATATTTTAATAGGCCATTTTTTTTATTTATTTTTTTTTAATAGTATCTCATTAATTAAATAGACAAAGTTTCCGGATCTCCAGATTGAAAACGCCTCAATTCCGAGAGTTTTCGTAAATACAAAACGTCTGCCAAGGTAGGTGAGTGTAGATTCCTCACTGTTTGCATTGGCTAAAAAATATATATATTACAAGGTTTAAAATTTGAGAATAAAATCTCTGAGAGAAGCCTTTTCCGGAAATTCAGTAATCTCTCAACATATGCGGGCTTGATATCCACGACTTTTGTTCATCAGCGAATACCAAAATTCGAAACAGTTCTGTCTATGCAGATTGCATATTTCATGATGGGATTAAAAAAACATCGAGTGCGTACTGAATATTAATGTGCATTAGTGGACAGAATTCAATAAAATTGACATTAAGTTATTTTTTTCACCATTACCTATTACCTAACTTTACCTAATATACCATATTAGGTATATTAGTATAATATACCATATTAATATACCTATAACACCATTACCTAACTTTGAGCCAAATCGAACGAGCCCTTTCTGAAATATTGGCATGTCTAAAAAAATACCTTTGAGCGTACGTAAGCGGAAGTTCTGGATGGAATTTGATAAAATTTATATACGACCATCTAGACACCAATCAGCATGATTCCTGAAAATTTCATGAAAATCGGATGAACGGTGATATGCCCGTCACATCGATTTGACTACAGCCAGACCGACAGACACCGAACCAAATTTGATCCTATATGTCAGAAATTTTTGAATTCTGAGGACAACATATTTTTAACCTCTCGCAAGAACACAATGCTTCGATAATAGGGAAGCAAAAAGTTGTAGGTTACGATGAGATAAAGCTATTTACGAAGTTTGAGGCGGATGCTAATAATTTGATAAAAAAATGTGTACGTATCAGGGTCAATATCTAGAGGCAATTATAAGCTGCAATTATAAGGGTAAAACAAATTAAGAGGTTCTAAATCGGGTAAAGAGGACAATTACTAACAGTACACTATCAGATATCAAATAATATCAAAGTCCCACAGGAAGTAATTAGAGAGGCCCAACTATTCAACGCTATTTAGTTTCTCACAGTTTATGGATCAGGAAAATGAACAACCAAGCATGAACACGTGCACTTAATAGATTTAGGTATATACCTAATGCAATATACAGATTTAGGGCTGATAGAACTTGAAAGCTAGCCCGGAAGGCAGTATTCTGGCTACACTGCCAAACTGGGACCAGCAAGAGGATGCACCATCCCACAGGTGAAATAAATCTAGCCAAGGGCAAAGAGCAATGGGCTTGGGAGGCCCAGACTTTAATAACAATAGAATGGAAACTTGTAAAAACTAATTTATTATTAAACAAAAAAAAAATGGTGAGAAACGTTAAGGTGTGTCGCAAATCCCATGTAACAATGACGTAATTGCAAATGATAGAATTTTATAGGAGATGAAATATAATTACATTATACTATGACATCAATTCGATAAACACGTCTTTCTGACAATTATGACGTTACAGGTCACTTTCCCACAATTTTACAATTGTGTCGTTCTTCCAATTAGTTCTTCCACAATTTTACAATTAGTTCGTCCAGTAAAGTTACTTAATTTGCACAAAGGAGATGTTCTGTATAGGTATCTCCCAGATAATATGAAACCATAGCAGACCTCAGGAATTATATATTATCTAAGGAGGTAATGTATAAACGTCCTTTAATTATCATATTTATATATTATTTAAAAATAATAAAAAAAATTGACTGCGTGGATAAGGATCATTTAAAAGATTTCTAGCAAGAGGTAAGCGGACAACACCTACTTATGAGTTGTTATGACAACATATTGAGCCATTAGTACTAACTGCACTTAACCAGAGAAATCAATCAAATTATAATAGATTTTTTAAAACTTTTCATTCACTGTTTTAATTATGAACGAATTATTGTTATTAATTCTGATTGATCTAGATTAGGCGTTTTACTTTTTAATGCAGTATTCGTGTACGATAGTCATTTGCTAATAAAATCACGAAGCCGCTAATTATAATAATAATGACTTTAAAGGTACTTCCAAATGCAGAGGCATATTTTAATATAACACGATGCAATGGCATTAAAAATTCAGTATATAGAACACCACATATTATCTCTGCATAAAAAGTAATCTTTATATGTTAATGTAACTTCTGAACTAAATTTAGAATACTTTAATAATCAACATATATTACATTTTATATATTTACATAATTATATATATTATATATATATATATATATATATATATATATATATATATATATATATATATATATATATTACTCGAAAAAAAAGCTTCTTGCGACTTATCATAGATGTATTCGTGAAATAATGATAGTAATAAATTTACTGTTGAATTTGATTAAAAAACTGCTTTTTTTTGTGTAATAAATGTTTCCATTTAAGATAATAATAATGTCCTAAAGGTTAGTTTATTAATTAATCTTTTAAATGGAGTATTTCCTTTCTTACAAGAATATGACCTCGAACTTTTCATTTACCTTCCATAATTGAAAAGAATGAGGAGTAATGTAGCCGTTTTATGATAACTTAATACTTTTTTTTTGTAATTTTCTCTTATATTGTGCGGCACTTTCAGGGTACGTTATATTTACTATATAAACATTATATAAACTATATATAGTATATAATACGTTATATAAACGTCCAAATAATATCTTAAATTTTAATACGTCATATAATAAATTTGCGTAATTTTAACGACCTATATTTTGAAATACTAAATAAAAAGAAGAAAAAAACCAGTCCTGGTACAACTTATGAATGGTCTTGGGTTCAGTGCTTTGTAAGAAAGTACTATTTCTCGATCAAGTGTTGCCTAACAGGAAGTTCTCACACACAATCACTAGATGTTTCCCTAAATCCATTGCATTCAATGATCCTTATCAGATTATCACTTGGCTGAGTGAGCCCCAAGAGGGTCTTCCGAACCCATGGTAGATTCAGAGCTCATATTTACAATAAATAACTGAGCTGGTTATGACATCAACTTGGAGCAAATTTCTCATCCGATTCATTTTTATTTGATACTTGTTTCTTCGATTTATTATGATCACTTAATTTCTCTGTTATTTCATTCTTTAATACTTTGCTTTTTTACCGTTATTTTATTCCTTTGTCAGCATTATAACTTTATAACTTCAGAAAAATATGTTTATACATCGTACATATCACATATTTACAATTCATTAATTATTGATTTCATTTTTTTACTACTGACATATACTAGTCTAATCTATTGATTTATTTCTTCATATTATTATCACAGAGTTCATGTATCCTTTTGTATCCTCTTGTATTAAAATTAGACTAAAATTCTATTAATCATTATGTTTTATATATATTTTCTTACCGCTATACGCCGTATTTATAGGTAACGTTAGTGCAAAAGGTCGTATGTAACAATTTTTCATGTTTATTCTATTTGTGCTAAAGGTACATACTACATTTTGTAGTATGTAACTGCAATAAGTAGTGTATTACTATAGAAAATATCAGAGAGAAATGAAATTTGATTAAATTATAAAGAAATAATAAGTTTTTATTTTCTTCTTTAAAAACCCTAAACTTTTACAAATGATCTATTACACTAACAGTAGCTTTATATATTTTAATTTATTGCAAAAAACGTAATTTTAGTTCACTTTTAAGAATTTATTTATTAACAGATAACAGAGTTTGTTTTTATGTATTTTTTTATTGTTTCTGGTCTTTCCTCAGCCCTGAAACTTAGGCACAAAATAAAATAAAATTTTTATTTGTATTTCTTGCAGTGGTTGTAAAACCCAGTTAACTTCCCAACGATAAAACATTAAGAAGTAAATTGTCCACATGGTGGTATATAGTGCTTGTAACAACCCGAAGGGGCTAAAACACAACTTTACAAAGCTCAAAGGACAAAAAGAATGTAAGTAAAACTTTATTGCCATTACATAACGGAACATGTTAAATGTCTATTATATTAAAAGTTATTTTGTATTTTATGGAATTGATAATCTTAGTCTAATCTTGGAGTTCTGGCAATGGCCAGATTCTCCACTCAAGACATGAGTGTATGTGGTTAAGCGCTCTCGCTCGAACTCCACTGGCTTTAGCACCAGTGACTCGGTTGAGAGAGTAGCGCAGGGATCTCTTGGAATAATGCTTTTCCTTCTAAAGTTAGAGGGGGAAGCCTGGCTTGGGGTTCCTTGCTTGATTGTATGTACTTATCTTTAGGTTATTTTATTTTTTATTATACATAGTTTTTGATTACTATTTAGTTATTACTTTTTCTCTTTTATATTTTATGTATATATGGTGTGAAAGTGTTCATTATCACTATAATTATTGTCCACGTGACAGATTATTATATTTCTAAATAAAAAAATAAAAAAATGTGTACAAACATGTTCTTTGGGCTTTGATTCATATCATAGTCTATTTTCATGCAATGCCAAAGACCTGTTCAATCTGTTCAAAAGTTGGATTTTTCAATTCGTACATAATTTTTGTACACTAAACATTATTTCAGTAAACCAATATATCGTTTAATAAATTGTTAAATTTACTAAACCGACAGATCATTTATTAAAAACATTATTTTTTATTACACTGAAATACCGTTTAATTGAAAACAACAGTTTAATTGAACAAAATTAAAAAAAACAATGAATCGTGAAAATATTAAAGCACTTGAATTTAAAGAAATAATACTACATTATTAATACCTTGATTCATATTTCTTTTTCTGTAATTCTACTTACAGTTTTTCTTTTAAATATTACAAATGACAGAAATTGACTAAATATACCTGTGTAAAGATTTGAGTACTTAGTTAAATAGACGAAGTTTGCCAATCTCTAGATTGATAACGCCTCAACTCCAAGAATTTTCGTAGATACAAAAGTTTTAATGTATGATGAGATGTAGCTGTTTCCGATGTTTTAGGCGGGTGTTAATAATTTGATAAAAAGGAGTCTGTACCATGGACTATTATATGCAGTATGAATCCCGTTGAGTTGAGTAAAATATCTGGGAGAAAATCCTATACCTTGAGAATCAAGCGTTTCTTCGTCCAAGTGTCTGAACAACAACAAAATAAACAATATCAAATGATACACGAAATTACAAAATGATTTTCAATAAATTATATATATATATATATATATATATATATATATATATAAATAAAATAAACGCATCGTAAAATGAAATAAAATAAGGAACTGCAAAGGTATAATACTGAGCAATATGTCAGTCGCAGGGTAGGACGGAAAGCACAGAATTATGTTGTCGGACAGACGAGTTGTTTATCTTGGCTCGTATTCATTTATATGATCAATGCCATTAGCAAAACAGGCTCGATAATGCCTCAACGAGTGAAACGCCGACCGGTTACCTGCAACCTGATTATAACACGTGTCATGCATTTTACCAATCTCCAGTCTAAACGTAACATTGCGTGATATATAATTAAATATTTAGGCATATGGTAAGTCGGACTCCATAAATAATAATAAAGTTATCAATAAATAAAGAATTTGAAAAGTGACATATTCATACCTTTCCTGATAATGGTATCATTGCCGTTAGTGGGCTTGAGGTTCTGCTCCAGTTCCATTTTGTCATCTTTGTGGGTGATGTCAAACAAGGATTGGCCGAGAAGATCATTCTGGAAACATAACAGCAATATTTAAATAAATTAAAATATTTAACAAAAATAAATATATGTACCATTACATAAATTCTAACTTTGCCTAACTTAATGTTTCACTATATGGATTAGTTTCAAACCCGATCGAAAAGTAATTTTACATAAGTCATATATATCTTTCCAAGTCGTTTTGAGGTTGAAATTAGTGTTGCCCAAAATCGGTCGTGGTCTTGCACTTTGCAAGATAAAGACCAAGGCCGCCTAACTGTTGGAAGACCAAGAGCAGGACTTGTAAAAAGAAATCTACTTTTTAAACAAAAATTAAGGCAAAATAGTTACTAATACTTGACAATCTTAGTTACTATACGTTAATAATTGGTATAACCAATACACTTTTGCATTTAACTCTACTTTTTCATTCGGGCTTAGTTAGGTTTCTCCTATCTAAAAAATTACATTAATATCTCTATAGTAATAAGCTATTAAGTAACTGCAAGACTGTTGCGAGATTCTTGCGCAAGACCAAGACCATGACCAAGACTCGTCTCGGTCTCACATTAGGGCAACTGTTGAGATATACTATAAATTATAAAAGGGATTACAGGTCTTTAATTTTGTGAAAATTGAATTAGATGTTTTAATTATTGAGTCATAATTTCTCATATTTTAATAGGGTCTCGAGCACTTACTGAAAACAGTTGCAGTTGCATTACTATGACTGATAGAATGATGTAGATAACAATTTTCAAGGAGATTTTTTATTTATTTATTCGGTAATAATTATAGTGAGGTATGAACACATAAAATATAAAATAAACAGAGGAAAAATAATCACAAAATATATACAATAAATAAAAATAAAATAATTTAAATAGAAGCAAATAAAAAAAACATACATATAAATACACAGACATACCTATATACAATACCAGTGAGATTAATTTTATCTTCGACAGATGAAGAACTTTTCCATGATATCCCTTTGAGTAATACATTAAAAAAAAAATAAAACAAATGGGATCCCGAAAATACAATCTTTCTGACTAACATGTAATTTAATTATCAATAAACACTTTATAAAAGCTATGAAGATCGAATGGCGAAAACATTTCCGTTTGTTTGACATTTAAAAACGTTATTCAACTCCAGTGGTGATTGACCTTAATCTGACTTTATAAAACAAATATTTTCATTGAATATTTTTAAATTTTCAATGAGTTCTACTAAAAATTAAAAATGAAAATCCTTACAAAGTTTCGAATAGAAATTTTGATTTTTGATTTACTAACCTGTTACATTACTTAATAACATTCATAGAATTTCGTTCAGGTATTTAAGGAGTTAGGGAGCTAAACGATCTTTAAAAAAAAAAGCAACAAAAAATCCACGTATTATACAAATGTTTTAATTAGGTAGGTTTGTAGCTACCACAAACTTGAAAGGACCATATTTCATCTAAATTTAAAGATTATTTATGATTCCAGCTGAAAGTTCAAGGAATGAAATCACAACACAGCGCATGCGCAAAAAAGAGAGAAAGTCTTCAGATCATATCTCTGCAAAGAATTGACCAAAATCGCTACTACCCACCTTGCATCCTTTACTCGTCCTGGTGGGTGCCAAGCGAGAAGGCACGAAATTCGGTTAGCATCTACTTTGATTCGCTTAAAATCTTTTGATAATAATTTGGAGAATATTTGGCCTATATTTCTACTCTGGAAGATTTGAATAAAGTTAAAATAAATAAAAAATGGAATAGAAACATCAAGACGATATTATTTCAGAATGTATCTTAATCAATAGACAGATAACGTTACTACTCTGTATTAACCACTTTTCTCACTCATAAATTGATTCCTGCATCCGCGTTAATGTTTCTGTGATAAGGGTGGATCTTTTATTTTTCATTCTTTTTTTTTACACATTTTATCTTTGCAGGCATTTTCTTACTTATCTATAAAATAAGCATTTGAAATGTTTTAGGAGATTTATACACTGACAGGCAATTCCACCCACTTGATTTTTTCATGTTTTCATCTAAAAATATTTCTGTTTTGGATTGGTCATGGTATTTGTAGATAATACTTAGTATTCATGGAATATTATAATCTTTTTTATATCTTAAGATTAAACGGAAAACGTTTCAGTTTGATGACATTATCCGACAGGTTTATGTAAACAAGATTTTTTTCTTCCTCTGATTCAAATGTATACAGGTTGTTTCCACCTATCAGTTGGCAGTTAGATAAAGCAAAATATGGCTGTTCGTGAGAAAAACGGCTTTCTCTTAAGTCCATCCAATATGATTAAATATTTGCTTTGATACTATGTATTTCTACGTTAAACATGCAATGGACACACATGAGAACCCGTGTCAGTGTAATAGCCTATAGTTTTCCTGATGTTTATGGTTACTGCTCGGTTACTATTGGTCAAATAGTGGCGTTATAAAGCCTTACGCATACCGACCGCAATAAACGTTATTTTTAACGCAAGAATATTTTTTTAATTTGGAACACTAGCTTCTTAAATAAGTGCAAAAAAACTAACTTCACCTATTACTATAGATTATCATTAAGAGAATTCCGGGAATATATTTAACATATTTTTTTAGACTCTATTTTAGTTATCTATCGAAACAATAGGTGTATTAATACGTAAGGAATTTTTTTGTCGGACAGATTATCTACTCCTCCTGTCTGGAGTCTGGAGTCAGCTGCCACGCAAATCATCCATCTTAGCCTGGATCGTGAAGCGTCCCACATTTTTAGAGGCGTAGGAAGGTGGCGGCCCTATCGCCCGGTCAAAGAACCGCAGATAGCCACTGGCCCTCCAGTTTGGAGGAACAGTACACTGACACGCAAACAGTACACAGATTACAGCGCTATCTGCGGTACTCCCACATTAAGGTCAAGAACAGTACACACCTTGGGGTACATCTAGGTGGACGCCGCGGACGGGGAAGTACGTCATGATGCTCTGAGTAGGCAGTCCCTCCACCTGACTCGAGGGCAGAGTATGGTTTGATATCCCTTCCCCTTAAACCACTCTTATCCCGAAAACTCCTATATGTAGTACAGGAAAAAGATATAAATCGTGGGTAAAACTCATATAGAGTTGGGGAAAAAAATGCTATGTTACTCTTAAAGCAGTTTTTCAATACAAATAAAAATCTGTATGTTGGTACCACGATATTTCAGTGTAACAGTCATACTGCATACATTAGTGCTTGTTTCTTTTGTTTTGCATATTTACACCCCACGATGAAACCAATTGGTTACCGAATGCATAATAACAGAAAAATCACTTCTTCAATAGATTTCGGCGCCCGAACTACTCCAATAAAATTCTCCAAAAGACTTCTCAGTAAATTCCCTTATCTATCCATGTATTTATGTAATACATTCTCCAGAAAAAGACAACAAAAATTATACTTTTATTTTTATATGATAATAATTGATGATTATATTGGCAGAGTAATTGAATTCGGTACAAAACAAAAGAATCACCGAAAGTGAACCAGCTTAATAATTTAAAATTCATTATTAATTTTAAAATAATATCTCTTATTTCTTCACAAGACAAATGAGATCTTAAAAGATTTAGCTGAATTTTAATCAAGTATTTTCTTTGTAATTATGTCTCATCAGAAAATGTAGGAAACACCTCTGGAACTAAGCAGGCTAATAGAATATGAGAAGAAACAGAAGATAAAAACTCCACACAACCAGCGTGATATAACTCTACAACTCTAAACAGGTACCACATTCATTTTGTTACCAGGAAAAGGCACAAATAAAAATGCACCTCATTGTAAATTAAACTAATTAATTATTAATTATAGTAAATTAAACTAATTAATTATTAATTATAGTAAATTAAACTAATTAATTATTAGTATAGGCTTAATCCAACTACTGTAATATCATGTTATTTTAAAATACAGTATTTCAAGAACTTATACTCCACCATTTATTTACGTACACTTCACCCATTATGTCATCCATAAACCAGCTCAAATAATAACTCCCACATGTGCCTAGCGTTATTTGACTCAATAAACCGCAGGTCACAGAACACAACCCAACCCTATCGAACAGGTTCATTTTAATTCTATAAATAAATCTCAAAACGAAGTTTTATTGTAATATCGGTCTTGTGTAAATATTGGAAAGTATTGGTGTAATATATTAGGGATACTGGGCGATGATAGTATTCATCATTATTCGTAATATAATCAATGCTATGTTTTAACCGATTATGAGGCCGTAACTAAACAATTTTCTGATCTTTTACCCAAAAAGTTTTGTTGCATTAAAATAGTAATAATAATATAGAGTAAATAATCAACCAAAATCAATGCATCACTGATAAAATCTATAAATATTTAAACAAAAATATGAAAAAAATAATTATCGAATAAGACCGACATAATCGCTTGATTCACCGAAAGGGTTAAGCTGTGCATACTTATCTCGTTTCGTTAACCTGAAACTCTCAATCACTCCATTGACTGCCGAAATAAGCAATACCACGGATAAAATTAAAAGAATATGTTGAGAACAAAATACGACTTCCAGACTTTCGCATAACTTACTGTTTCTACTAATTACGCTTGGTATCAAACTTTTCAATAAAAAGGGCAGTAAGTTGCTAAATTTGTCCAACAAAAAATCGTTTAAACTTCAGACATAATCATATTAAACGGAATGGCAAATAAGAAGAACGGCGTTGTAATGACCTAGTATTATTAATGGAAAAAAAAAATTACTTTTTCTTTGAATAACATAAAACAGAATCATAAAACCGACCCTCCCTGAATAGTCTATGTAAACAATACTATTAAATTCAACAGGTTTATTAGTTACCTATTAGTTTTTTCTCAATTTATTAAAATTTAGAACTGTTTGTAATAAATACAACTGGTAAATGTAAACTATCAAGAATAATAAAATGAACAGATTTGCCCAATGGAGTAGCACTCCATTAATAAATAAATAGTTCTAAGTAAGCAGGTC